CTGATCCAGACCATCAAACTGACACATCTGTTTCCCTTGAGGTGTGTACACTGACAGATGAGCAATTCATCAGGTAAAAAAAAAACCCAAGCTTCTTCTTCATTCCTAATTTCTATCAGAGCAGAAAAGCAGGAATTAGTTTTTAGCACCCTTTGGTCTTAGTTTCTATTGAATATGTACAGTATAATTTAGATTTTTTTTTAATCATGTCCTCATAACTTTAACATTAGAAGTGAAAGAGGATGTACTTTTTCTCATACATTACTGTATAGTGACGCTGCATTTTACCTGGTTCAACCTGGTGGAACGCTTGATCATGTTAAAACATGGTTGTGTAGATAGTCTATCAAACCAGTGGTCCAACTTTCAACTGCATCAGGTCAGTTTTCATTGACAATTGGGAAAGATCAACCAACTCCTCACTCAAATCTTCTGCCGGCATGTGCTCCGTAGACCTTTAAAAACTGCTCGCACAGTTCAGTGACATAATAGAATTAAAGTTTGTGAGTGCTTCCTCTGGCTGGAGGAGCATCGGTGGACAAAAGAGCAAAGAGAAATGTCAAACCCTGCTCATCCTATATTGAACCCTCTCAGCTGATGGATCCAGAGGATGAAGAAAAAGGGAATAAATATATATATAAAAAAAGGAGAGGTGCTTTTTTTTCTCTCCCCTCTGATATTAGACCCCTGGGAGAGAATCAAAACCTGAATTTCCTTCACCGTTGGGCGCCCGGTGACCACCCTCCCACCCCCTCCTCCCAGCGAGCAGCTGGATGAAAGCCAGGAGTGATGGCAAAGACGGAGCCAGGTCGAGCACGTTGATGGCTGGAGTGATGATTCCCTTCACAAACACAGACACAAATGCCCCCACGCCTCCTCCCACCTCCCAGTGGCCTTGGGCCTGCAGGCAACACACACACACACTCTACCTCTCTCTCTCTCTTTCTCTCTCTCTCTATATCACGCACACACAGACACACACACACGCACACACTCACAATGGTTAGGTCTCCAATTAAATCAAAAGTGGTTTGTTTTTATTGGTCTTTTGCGCTGACAAGTGGGCTATCATTCTGACGGCTCTACCTGTCAGCCAGCAGCTGAAAATCCTCCGTTGACAATGCCCAATGCTTCCAATTAGGGGAGAATCAGACTCCTGGCGCGCTAGCCATCTTTTCAACCCCCCCCCCCCCCCCCCCCCCCCCCCCCCCCCCCCCCCC